CAAGAGATTTGGAAGACAGCTACCTGGCCAACTGACTGGAAGAGATCCATATTTGTACCCATTCCAAAGAAAGGTGATCCCACAGATTGGGGAAAATATCGAACAATATCATTAATATTGCATGCAAGTAAAATCTTACTGAAGATAATTCAAAAACAGATGCAGCAGTATATTGACAGAGAACTTCCAAAGGTGCAGGCTGGATTCAGAAGAGGATGTGGAATGAGGGATATCATTGCTGATGTCAGATGGACCTTGGCTCAAAGTAAAGAATACCAGAAAGATGTTTACTTGTGTTTTATTGACTATACAAAAGCATTTGATTGTGTGGATCATAAAAAATTGTGGATGACATTGGGAAGAATGGGAATTTTAGAACACTTAATTGTACTCATGAGGAACCTGTACACAAACCAGGAGGCTGTCATTCAAACAGAACAAGGGAACACTGCATGGCTTAAAATCAAGAAGGGAGTGTGGAAGGGCTGTATCTTTTCTCCATACTTATTCAATATACATGCTGAGCAAATAATCCAAGAAGCTGGACTATATGAAGAAGAATGTGGCATCAGGATTGAAGGAAGAATTATTAACAACCTGCAATATGCTGACAACACAACTTTGCATGCTGAAAGTGAGGATAAGTTGAAGTAATTACTTATGAAGATTGAAGAATACAGTCTGCAGTATGCATTACAGCTCAATATAAAGAAAACCAAAACCCTCACAATGATAAATGGAGAAGAGATTGAAGTTGTCAAAGACTTCACATTGCTTGGTTCTACAATCGACGCCAATGGAAGCAGCAGTCAGGACAATAGATGACAAATAGCACTGGGAAAATTGTCTGCAAAGGACCTCTTTCAAGTGCTGAAGAACAAAGATGTCTCCTTGACAACTAAGGTGCACCTAACACAAGCCATGGTATTTTCAATCACCTCATATGTGTGTGAGCACTGGACAATGAATAAGGAAGAACGAAGAAGAATTGATGCTTTTGAGTTGTGGTGTTGGCAAAGAATGCTAAAAGTACCATGGACTACTAAAAGAACTAACAGGTCTGTCCTGGAGGAAGTGTAGCCAGAATGCTTCTTGGAGGCAAGAATGGCCAGACTTCATCTCACATACTTTGGTCATGTTGTCAGAAGGGACCATTCCCTGGAGAAAGATGTCATACTCAGTAAGGCAGAGAGTCGAAGAAAGAGGGGAAGGCCCTTAACGAGGTGGACTGACACAGTGGCGGTGGTGATAGGCTCAAGTGTAGTAAGAATTGTGGAGCTGGCACAGGACTGGGCGGTGTTTCATTCTGCTGTACATAAGGTTGCTATGAGTTGGAGATGACTCAATGGCACTTAGCAACAAAAACAACCTAGTCTACAAGTGAGCCCTGGTGAGGCTGTGGTTAAAGCATTGGGCTGCTAAAAAAAAAAGGTCAGCAGTTCAAGCCTACCAGCCACTCTGTGGGAGAAAGATGAGGAAGTCAGCTTCTGTAAAGATTTACAGCATTGGAAATCACATGGGTCAGTTCTGTTCTGTCCTATATCATTGCTATTAGTCAAAATCGACTCTATCATAGTGAGTGTGGTTTGGGGTATATTCCAAAAGGGTATGTTAATTATTTTGAGGGAAAGCATGTGGAATATTTGCTTATGGAAATACTGACCTAGGCAGTGAATAGATTTCCAGAGCAGCTCACAAAAGCTGATTGCACACATTATGTGCTTACACAGAAGTTATGATGAAGAGGACGCACCCCCACAGTGCCAGGAGTTTAGACTCCCAAGATCCACAGCCAAGCACACACCTCCCACCCTTGCCCCTCACTTGCTAGGATGTGGGAGAAAGAGTTCCTAATCCAAGCTTCTGTGTGTAATTTCCTTGTCTGCAAATGTAGGTAGTTTAGGGATAGAAAACCGTCTTGGGAAGTCAGAAAGTGGAGAAGGTTGAATCCTTCAGGGATCTCCTAACTCAGATCCCAAGTCCCTGAAATCAGCTATTTTGGCTCTCCTTAAAGTTTTAGACTATTTATTCTCTCACTGCCCTCACTATTACTTCTGACCATGGCATCTCTGCATTTTGGCCCACTAAAGAAAATCATGGGAGACTCTGATAGCATAGTGCCTAAGGCACTTGACTGCTAATCAGAAGGCTGGCAGTTCAAACCCACCAGCCACTCCTCGGAAGGAAGATGGGGCAATCTACTTCCATAGTGATACTGCCTCAGAAACCCAAGGAGGGGTAGCTTTGAGTCGGGTCCGACTCGATGGCACATAAGAACAACAACAACAACAAAGAAAATCATTAGGTCTTACAAGTTTTCCTTGATGACCTTTCTGGTAGATTATGTGCTTTATTAGGTTTTCCTTAGGCTCTGGTGGTGTAGTGCCTAACGGATTTGACTGCTAACCAGAAGTCTGGTGGTTCAAACTTGCCAGCCACTCTGCACAAGGAAGGTTGGGCAATCTACTTCCGTAGTGCTACTACCTTGGAAACTCAAGGAGGGGTCACTATGAGTCGGTTCTGACCTGATGCAGTGAGTTTGGTTTTTGGGGGTTTTCTTGTTACCAAAAACATTGGAAAAAAGATAGTAACTTGAAAGGCTCCACCTTATCTCTTCCTGATCCTCACTTGCAGAAGACAAAGTTATCAGTGATGCTGTATCTTTGATTAAACAAACAAAGAAACAACAAATAAAAATTGCCTACAAGAACCTTCCTTTCCCACCCCATCTGAATTCCTCAAAATTTTGCTGGGCAGATTCTTTATTCCTAAATTCATTTTACTTGTGTTCTTTCTGATATCCTTAGACTCAGATATGGATAATAGTTTATCTTAGGCTTCCCAGCATGCTCCTGTTCCCTTCAGCAAGGTTCCCTGACAGACTCGAGGGGCTATTGATTAAGGGGCTCAGCTCTCCCCACAGCAGTCGACTGGGCTCTGATTTAAGCCAGGCCAATGTGACTCTCTCAAACTTTGAATCCTAAGAAAGGCACCACACGAATGGAAAAACAATCTGGCAGCTAATCCATCCCAGCATCAATATTCTGAAAAGTCCGCAACAAAAGCCTGCTCCCCAGACTTCAGGGGCTGCTCAGGCTCTTAGCCTGGATTCTCTGGGTTCTGAATTATATGCACCACCTACAACCTTCTAACAAGTTCTACCTTTTGCTCAAGTCAGCCAGAGTCAGGTTCTTCTGGTCGCATCCAAAAAGCCTTGGTTGTTGCAGAATATCTGCATCCTTAGCCTTTTTTCACACTGATGGGATGCAACCAGTTCCTTAGCCTGAGGCATCAACAACTCCAAAGCATGCTAAGAGCACCTTTGCTGATGTGCATCCCTGCCTGGCCTGGTATCTGAGCCTCAGAGCTGTGTGGCAGTCTTTTTGCCTGTCTCTGCCCAGTTCCTTTCCCATCTTGATAGCAGTTGTTTCTATTTTACCACTCCCCTCAAATCTGTACAGCAGATGACCTCAAACATCACCTCATAATAAGCAGCAGCCACCAAGTATAACCTTCTTTAATAAACCTCTGCTTTACTTCCCTATCTTAATTTTATCTTCTGCTCCCTTTCCCAAGACTCAGAGAAAGGTTGCCCATTCATCTTTCCCAGGCCTGCTCCTCTAGCTCCAAGCTATTCTGGGAATGTACACCACAAATGATCTCTTTTCTTCTTTAATCTCTCCTCTCTATTGGCTTCTTGCTTTCAGTATCAAACTACTGATGTTGCCCTATTCTAGGAAGCCCTTTTCCATCAAACATCCCCATGAACTACTGTAGTTCCAGCTCCTTCCTCACTTTCATGTCTTGTCTTCACTTGCTCCACATTCTGGCATCCCTAACTTCCAAGACACTACAATCAGCCCTCTTCTCCCACCCAACATTGTGCCAGTGACACTGCTCTCAGAAAGGTCACTAGGAATTTCCAAAAGGGCAAATCTGATCACTTATTTTCAATCCTCAAACAGACAACTGTCTCAGAAACTGCTGATTATCCTAAAATAACAATTTCTCCTACCTTTAGAAACAAACAAACAAAAAACCACCAAACCTGTTGCCATCAAGTTGATTCTGACTCATAGTGACCTGACCCTATAGGACAGAGTAGAACTGATTCATAGAGGTTCCAAAGACAAAATCTTTACAGACGCAGACTGCCACATCTTTCCCCCAAAGAGCAATTGATGGGTATGAACCACCAACCTTTTGGTTAGCAGCCATGCACTTTTAACCACTATACCACCAGGGCTTCCTGTCAGATTGAATCCCCCAAACATATTTCATATTGGTCATCTGACTACATTCTGGCCAATGGTATATGAACAAAATCTGTGAGCACAACATCTGTGTCATGTCTTTTAAAAAGAAGGCTGTGCTTTCCAATGCCTTTCCAACTTCTGCTGGTCGGGATGTGGGTGTGTTGTTGTTAAATCACATTTGGCATGAGGATCAGAACAATACCCTGGAGATACGGAGGAACAAGACAGAAGGAGATGGGACTCCAGATGACCTCATAGAGCACAAATTCCCTACTTTCCTGGTCTGCCCTTGAACTCAGAGAGAACAACTTATTTGCCAAGAGTCACAAGCTAGGAAAAGGCGAGCTAGACTAAAACCAAGGTCCAAGCTTAGTATTCTTTCCAATGTGCAGTTTGGTAAGCTATAACTGCTTCTGGGAGTGTTGGCTCTAATAACCTCTGTTACCACATGGCCAGGGCCACTTCTAGCTATCGGTTTTCAATTTAGACACTAATAACTCAGCTCTGTAAAGAAGGCCAAATTGTACATACCTTGTTTGAGATTGCCTTTCTCCTCCTGAAGCACTAAAACTTCTCTTTAAAATTCCTGAAATAATAAAATAAAAAGAAATAACGACATTTTTCCTCTGCAAATATTTTTTGATCAATTTAAAAAAAAAAAGGCAATGTTGCACTTCTGTTATCTGAGCTATCTGAGCTATTTTATATATTGGGAAAATGGTCTGGATTTATGAAAGTATGAACTGATAATATAGTATCACAAATTACAATTTTACTTGACAGCTCTGTTTAAGGGTCTTTTTCCAAAGAAAAAACACTAAACAAAGAAACTCCATTATTAATAGCTAATAAAGTACAATAAAATACTTATGTCATCATCACCCTAAAGCCCTTGATGAAACAGCTACCAGTCCCCACATGCAAATTTAAGAGTCCAGTTTCTCTTTTCCCACTTCCCCACTGGGCCACCCTCATTGCTACCAGGATATACAACTGAATTCATCTGAATATAGTCAGTAATGAACTGCTTCCAGAATTTGTTACATATGTTGTTGTTGTTGTTAAGTGCCGTCGAGTCGTTTCTGACTCATAGCGACCCCATGCACAGCAGAACGAAACACTGCCCGATCCCGCACCAGCCCC